CGCTGCGGGGACCGCTTCAGCACCAGCCGCCGCTTGGACAGCTCCGGAGCCGGGGCCTTTGGGCGGCTGGGCCGCAGCCTTCTCCGCCCCGCCTCCGCCGCCCCGAGCGCTGGTCGTGGGCGCGGCTCGGCCACCGGTCTTGTTGCCCTGTTGTTGCTGCTGCTGCAGCTGCTGCTGCCGGGCAGAATTCAGTTTCGTGCCGGCTCCCACGAGGGACCGGCTGGCCGGGGTGGTCTGTCGGGCCGCACTGTCCTTGGGTCTGGCGGGGGACTGAGCTCGCTGTTGCTTTCTGCTGCTCCCCTCTGGGTGCAGCCGAGCTTCCGTCGCGACACCGGCGGCGACAGAAGCTGCAGTCGCAGGGGGAGCGCCCCCGGTCGGTGGCTGACTCATGGCCGTATAGGAAGAACCTACCGGATGCGATTTGGAGTCGTCCGTTACCGGGTCATCCTCGTCCCTCCTCGCCACCACAAACCTTCCTTTCTGGGCTAGAACAGAGACAAAAGAAAGGAAGTACACAGCATGTCTGCCTTGTTAGAGAGCAAAGGATGATCTGAGAAGCTCTCGAAAATGATGAGATCCGAAAGGCGCCGACTAAGCGCTTTGCACTTAAGGGGAAAAAAGGACCAAGGGAACCTTGGCACTAGGAATAGGTAGAATGCAAAGCTGTCATTTTCCATTTCATCCAGGGGGGCGCTGTCTCCATCTCACACCATCTCAGGAAAACGATGACAAATCTGAAAGCAGTTGCACCTGACCTAGTCTCACAATAGCAGGTTTTAGAAAAGGTGAGATGTAGAATCAGAAAAGAATGGATGGAGCAGGCGATTAAAGAAGAAGAGAAGGGCAAGAAACATCTTCAAAAGGAAAATGTGATGTCCACAGGCCAGAGTTGTCAGCATGAGGCTTTCTGTTTTGATTTGGCTTCGCACCCAACGTGCATTACAAGCACAGTGTGGTGGAGAAAGTTTTATTTAATCAGTTCTGCCATGTTTCAATGGAAGGAAAATGGCTATGATTTGGGTTCCTACCGGAATTTTTCAATGGATTAATGACACTTTTCTCTCATTGTGCGAATTCCCAATATTGTCTTTGTTTAGACAAAATACCCACTTTCTTTACACTGTGGTACTGAAAAGAAATGTAAATAACGATGACTTTAAATAAATCAACCTCGGGCTTAACAAAATGACGACATTAAGAATCACTTATATTGATTAGTCATTCACAACCACAAAGGGATTTTTTTCAACTTTGGCAAAAACACATTTTAAGTAATTATAGAAAGGTCGGTGGGCTTTTGTTACAGAAGATGGCTTTTCCTGTACTTACTGGATTTCCTATTTGCTGCCACTCATTTTAATTTCAAGTGTAATTGTTAAATAGAAAAATATCTCATCTCTTGATTCATAATCATCTTTGAGGTGCTGACTTCATGGCTACAATAGTATTTCTAAAATACCTACTTCTTTCCATAGACCTAAATGATAACAGAATAACATGCGCCCAGGAGTGCAGCAGCCTCCCCCTTCTTCGTAGGGTACTTCTCCATTGTCTCTTCCTCCAAGACAAATCCGTCATCAGTTTATGTAATCTGGAAAACAGGCAGCTAACTGCCTTGTGGTTTCTTCTCCTTAGTAACCTGGCCCGCTTTGTCAACTAAAACTTTTTCCTTAAAAATACTATTTCTCTCTAAAGAATGGAAAATGCCATGACTAGGCAGAATATTTTCCTTAAAAAATTATTCCTATTAAGTTGAGAGATGCTTGCCAGTCCCTTTACTTGCATTATTCCTGTTATTGTTTATTTCAAAGGTTATAATTCGACATGCAAGAAATTCTCATTTTATAAAGAAATATTATTGGAGGGCACTCTCCTTCCACTCTTTTTCTTCCTTCAATCTCCTTCCAACTCACTTTGGAAAACAATGAAGCACAAAGAAGACATTAAGGGGAAAACGTTACCCATCAACTTATTCCCAAGGAACCATAAAGCTCTTAGACTGTCTGGCCTAGTTCATCCTAATGAGTCACCCTAAAGAGAGCTACCCGGGCAAATTATGTTGCCAATGCAACCTCATTTTTACATCTAATTGGGCAGAATTACCTTGGAGCTGGGATACAGTAGGGGAACGCTTAACCCTAAGTCCCCAGACAGCTTTTACCCTGGAGAAAACTGGACTTCCTGGGTCTCTACTCCACAGTCACAGGTACCTGGAAGCTGTCACGTGGTCCTCAAAAAGTGACAAGATGCTGCATCTCCTGAAGGCATCCCCCAGTGGAAATTGCAAACCAACCAGCCCCAGTAGGGCTCAAACCAACACTGTGACACTCAAGTTTTATCTGCTTGTTCACCCATCCCATCTCTCATCCTCATCCCTTTAGAAACCCAGAACTGCTCACTTCTCAACGGAGGCGATGTTTTGAAGTTGAAGCAAACAAATACCGCTTTCCTTCTGATCTTCCGAGGACCGCGGGATGGTGTTTTCTAGAGCCCAGGAAAGTTTGACTTCGTCCTGTCTGCGACGTTCTGTCTGAGCAGGAGCTGGTCGTCCCAGTTTCACACCCGAGGGATTGCTCGGAACAAAGGCGTCAATGTCAGCTCCGCGGGCCCAGGGCGCTTTCCTCCGCGGCGGCGCTCGGCTGCGAGCAGGCTGGAGTTGCGGCTCTGAGCGAGGTACCAAGCGGTGCCAGACGCTCCCCAGGAAGTGCAGTGAGATTCAGGGGCTGACCTCACCCGTGGGTGCAGGGAGGGGCGGGACTGTGGGAGTACCCGCAGAAGTAGCTAAAGGGAGGTTACTTTGAAGAGGGTGGGGGTGGGGTGAGGGGGAGTAGAGTAGGCAAGGCAGGGTTAGAAGACAAAAAAGCCAGAGCCCCGCCCGAGATGCGAGCGCCACAGCGGAGCCCCAAGTCTTCCCTCCGCACCCTTATCTGTCCGGTATTTGGCAGCAGCTTGAAATCGGACACTCTGGTTCTGCAAAGCTTTGTCTTGGCCGGATCGATGCCCATCAATTATTTACATGAGCTGTTTCCCAGGGAGGCGGATCCGAAGCGGCCATCCTGGCAGGACGGAGGTCTCCTAGTGCAGCTGCGAGGCGCTGGCGGGCGGCTGCCGGGAGTTCCCTTTGTTCACTCACTTTAACTCTCAGCCGCGCTCTCCACGCGGTGCCCCGCCCCCTACGCCAGCCGGGGCGGAGCCACCAGACCCCGGGTCCCAGAACACATCCCACAGACAAAGGGTTCCACAAGTCAAGACTGATGTCCTGCACGAATAAATAGCAGTTTACAGAGACTGTTTGCAGGCAGATTGGCCCTCGATGTGTTTATCCTTCCTCTTTTATTACGTTCCAGGTTCCACTGTGAAGACAAGGAACAATTGCTGGGGTATCCATCCAAGATCTCTATCTCAGTGCATGTGTGTACCAGGAATCATAAAGATAGGAGTTTAAGAGGGAATTCGGAATACACGCCCTCGAAAAATTATCCTAGTTCATTTTTGTCCTACAGTGATATTCTAAAATTTCCATAGAAAATCCTCTTCTCTCAAGTTTATTTCTTAATCCGTCTTCCCAGTTTTATGGGGACTTCACGCTACTTCTATACTTGATCTCAGCCAAAAGGCCAAGAAGAGATGTCACGCTACCTCTAACACTCCATTGTGATATTGAAAATGAGAACGAAAGTGGCACTGCTTTAAAAAGAAAAACAACTTTTATTGGGGGAGCTTACATTTCTTATCACAATCCACACATTCACCCAGTGGTGACACTGCTTTTTGAAACGACATTTTCTAAAATTATAATCAGTTCTATGAACTGTGGTAGTCTCTAGAGGAAATGAGGGTAATATCTTGAAATAAAAATTGTTTGTGTTAACATGAGTGATTCTATTTTCTAGGCGTAACATCTTGCATTGAGTAAAATAGAAATGCTCGGTAGTGTTTTACACACAAGAATCTTATTAGAGCAAAATTAAAAGGTTTTCCATCCGTGGTGATTAAGCTCTTTGGTGACATTATAGTACAAAGATGGCGATCACACTAAAATCACTCTAGCATTCTCTTATTTCAAAATACATAGTAAGTGCCTAGTGTGTGCGCAACACTGTCCAAGGTGCTGAGGAAGCAAGGATTAAGTTTAGAAACGGTCCCTATTGATAAGAGGACACCAGCATTTTGGTGAGAATTAAAAGGTATTTTCCTTTAAATATTTAAAGGTATTTTCCTTTAAATATTTCTGGATATTAGGTAAGTGGTATTTGTAATAAGTAGGTGAGAATTTTTATAGCATGTAAAAATAAAGGGAAATGAAATATAATTATAATTTATTTGGAATTTATGCTAGGCAAGTTGTCATTATTTACCCAAATTTGATGTAATTTCCTTAAGAAATATTAAGACCCTTAAGTATTATTCCACTAAAATGGCTGAAATACTTTCCAGTCAGTCCTTACAAATAAAATGTTGACATTCTGTTTATAGTGTAAGGACAAAAAAATCTCATAGGTATTTTTTCTATTTCTCTGAGAATTTTCTTCAGGCATCTTAAGTTTCAATTTTTCCAAAAGTGTTATTAATTTTAATGCAATGTGTACCAGAAAATTTATAAATAGATTGTGCATGATTAAATCAAGCACTCAATGTGTGTGGTTTTGTTTTATAATTATTATACAATTTCAAGGTTGGAATACGTTTAAACAATATTAAAATTTTTTTTGCTCTTGGAAATATGATATAGAACTTTTTTTTATATAGAACTTTTAAAACAAGTTTGGGTAGTTTATTATGTTTCATCAATTAAGCAAACTCCAAAGAAATCAAGCCAACTGACCTTTTGATGTCTCTTAGGGATAATGAATCATCTATTCTGTAGTATAGTAGGAGGTGGTCCAGAAGAAGGAGACTCATGTCTCAATTTTCATGTTCTTAATAAATACATAGCATAGGGCACCATCGAAGAAAGAGCTCCAAACCAAAGTCCAATGCCCACCAATTTTATAACCTTGGGACAGCAATCATCTGCTTCGCTCACACTAGGGCAATTCAGTCATCAGTACAAAGGAATATGTCAGTTCCTTAAATCTGCCTCCAGTGAGTTTGAGGTAAAGCCCAGTTTGCTGAATGGGGACTTCCACATCTGCTCCTTCTGGTATGGCCTATGAAGGATATATTATGCCTCGAAAGGACAGAAGATAAAGAAGAGCAAAATTCAAGCTTGGAGTCATTAAACAACTGAGATACCATTATATCTAACTTAAAAAGTCTCTCAATTCTCACGATGTTAAGGATATAATAGTATATTAATCTGTATAGATTTACACTGCAGTAGTTCTCAACCAGTGGGTCGCGACCCCTTTGGGGGTCAAACGGCCCTTTCACAGGGGCTGCCTAACATGATCGGAAAAACATATTTCCGATGGTCTTAGGAACCGAGACACCGCTCCTCTGTCTGTCTCTAGGCAGGTCCACACACATGCAGATACCCAGTGTGAAGACTGCTACCCGTGCTACACCATGCTTCAAGACAAAATTTCATTTATTTGTAATTAGAAATAAATATTTCACCATATATAATTACATGTTGGTTTTTTGATTGATCATTATACTTTAATTATGTTCAATTTGTAACAATGAAAATACATCCTGCATATCAGATATTTACATTACAATTCGTAACAGTAGCAAAATGACAGTGATGAAGTAGTAACGAATATAATGCTATGGTTGGGGGTCACCACAACATGAGGAACTGTATTAAAGGGTCGAGGCATTAGGAAGGTTGAGAACCACTGCTATAGGTTGTAAAACTTTTCAACTTTATATATGCAAAATGTAAAGTAGCTCCTATCTTCTCTACTTTAAAGGAGAAGTAACTGAGGCTCGAACATAAGAACAATTGTGGGGCTGGTGCAGGACCTAGCAGGGTTTCATTCTGTTGTACAGAGTGTCACTACAAGTTGGAACTGACTCCATGGCACCTAAC